AGTTCTACCTCTTCATAGTTGATGATAGTGGAGAATTAGATTGCTTGCAAACAAGAACATTGGCTGAGCCTGATAGATAAATGATTGAGTATGATATAGGGATGTATAATATCTGTTCGCTTGAGAGTAATATATGAGCTAAGCAGTTTCCGTTATCTCCCCAATCACATATTAAATGCATATGAATGCACATAAAGTTGTGTTCCAAATTCCATTTAATTGATCATGAGAGATGTAGAAATCATAAACAATACCAGACACAATCATTGATATCTTATTGCATAAAATTTACAAAAGCAGTTATTGTGTCTGATCTTTAACAGCAATTTTAAGTTTCTTGATAGACAATCTCATAATACCCTATCTGTTGAACTGCACAATGTGGCTGATGAACTTCAAGCTCCCACACATAGCAGCATGATTATACGTTTGAACTGGTTCATGACAGTTTGTCAGGAATGAAATCATAGGTGACTGATTATCAAACAGTTCTTGCTAATGCAGCTGTAATCTGGTGCAGAATTTAAGTGTTTAGTTTCTAAACAAATTAGAAAGAAAAAAAAGCGTAGACTGGATCTATATGCGGTACATTATTAGTTCGAGGTAATACCCTAATTTCATTGCTTTGGTTGCTGGTTCACTGTATTGAGACTGTGGCTGACTTAGCTGCAGACTGATCGGCGCATGTAAGTCGTATCCATTTCTGATAGTGCATGAAAGATTGGATGCCACATTTTGTTCATTTACCTTCTTTTGCAGCTCGGCATTTTCTTTCTGGATGAAGTCCATCTTTTTATGGAGTTCTACGTTTTCTTGATGGACAAGAGTTCCCTACAATAGCATTAATGGAAGTTGGTCAGAAATTTGCGAGAAAGCCTAGTCAAATACAGCAAAGAAAACCAAACCCCTCCCGGTACCTTTTGGTGTAGTTCTTTAATCTCATCAGTCAAAATGTGATCCTGCAGGGAAATAGACAGCATTGTAACAGTCTATAATTTGGTGTAAAAAGCTTAAAACTGATCCGAATATACCCGACATACCTTTTTCATTCGAACACCCTTCAGACTAATCTCCAGTTGATTTTCCAGATTTTGTAGTTCTTTAATACCCAACCCAGAAAGTCCTTCACCCATCAATTGCCTGCTTTTACCAAAAAAAAGAAAGTACAATATACACTTTCATATGAAACCGGTCGGTTTAACTTACACAAGAACTTCGAAAAATCAATATCTTCTTTTACAAAAAAGGTTATGATTATGCAACAGAAAAGTGCTCATTATTTAATTTACCTATGGCTTTCTTGCAGGTACTGCAGTTGTTGTCTCAGTCCAGCTGCTTCTGTCTGCCAAAACTAGCAAAGTAGAAACACAGATTTCAAATATGTTTAAACAGTTCTTACTAAAGAAAATTATTTAAAACGCAATAACTGTAATATAGAGAACTCAAAGACCAAGAACATTAGGAACAAGATGAATAGTATATAAATAATCACCTTGACTTCTGAAGCAGGATTCATTAGCTGATGCTGTTCTTCTTTCTGTTTGTTATAGCGTTCGATAACAGCTTTCATGCTGCCGTAATGTACAAAGATAATAAAAAGCATTGACAACTATTTATGATTAAAATAGATCTATTAATGAGTTAAATTGTTTAATTAGTTATTTGTAATGTAGTTGTTGTGACTTTAATGAATAAGAGTCTGGAAAACCTTGAACATGTTGTGATGATTCTGAGCGTTTGCAATACACGAAACTAGTGTTTTGGGTTAGTTTCAGATATCTGAACACCCATTTGACAACCTCTTAATAAACCTTTTAAAAAATTTTCATCAAGGTGCTAGAGACACACATTAGAAGTTTAGAACACAATATAGCATAATTAATGGAAGAAATTGCGCGTCAAAAGTATTTTAATATTTAAACAATTTTTAGTTTTAATATTTAGGTAATTTTATGTTTTAATATTTAAACAATTTTCAATTTTAATTTTATTTTGGATTAAAACCCATTAGGGTCTCTTTTAAATCTCTTTTAAATCTATTAGGGTTTCTTGATTTTTCTGTATTTAAATATCTTTGAAGTGACCATAAGAATTATCTTTTCATTATAATAAAATTCAGAGTTTTCTTTTCTCTTTCTGGTAGATTTCAGAATTATCTGACAGGTTTTGCAATTGCAACCCTGTGTTTTTGTTTTAGGTTTAGTGTTTGTTATTCCCTAGGTTATGACAGGAATCAACAAAGAGACAAGAGAGAAGAACCGATTAGGGTTCCACAGGGTGGAAACAACTGTGTTGAAGATTCGAGTTCTGAAGAAGAAGAATCTTACGAGGAAGATGTTGATTGGGGAATCGACAGAACAACCATAATTATCGAGTGAAAGCTGATATCCCATTGTTCTACGGAACGATGGGAGTAGATGAGTTTCTTGATTGGCAGATCGACGTTGACAGGTTCTTTGATGTTATGGGTGTCCTTGTGAACAAGCAAGTTAAGATGGTTGCGACCAGGCTTAAAAGTACTTCAGTTGTCATGTGGAATAAACTTGTTATTCAAAGGCATAGGCAAATGAAGGGACCAATCAGAGCTTGGCGAAGAAAGAAACAATTGATGTTGGAGAGGTTTTTACTATAGGATTATGAACATATTGTTTATAAGATGTACATCGAGTGTGTTTATGGCAAGAAAACTGTGACTAAATACACAACAAAGTTCTTGCGTGTTTTTCTATGAACTGGGAGAATCAGAGAGCTAGAAAGTGCCTCGATATATTAGTGGCCTAAAGGAATCCTTACAGGAAAAGATGAATTTATAAACTATATGGACCGTAGTTAAGGCATCAAATTTACCTTTGAAGGAAGAATTGGTGGAGAAATTCCCTCGAAATTTCTCGTATATTAGAAGGTACTCACCCCAAAATAACTTTGAATCAATAGGGGACAAGGAAAAGAGTGCAACACCCCGAGAAGCAACTCTAGTACTATGCAGTAGAGTAAAACACCAATTCAAAGGTAGAATAATCAATATGTTAGACACATTATAGACACGTGTTATCATTGTAGTAGAAGAGACCACAAATTGAATATTTGTCCGACAAGGAGAGTCGCTGTTGTTGTGAAAGAAAGGGAGGAAGATGGGAAAAGAGAAGGTCTTGCAGTTGAGAATGATGAATATGCCAATGTTGAGTTTCCAGAGAAAGAATCTGATGAGAGATTAAATTTTGTGTTGCGGTGAATGTTACTACCATCCAAAGTCAAAGGGTAGCGCAAAAATTTGTTCAAAACACATTGATCTATCAAGAAAAAAGTGTGTAATCTGATTGTGGATAATGCCAACACAGAGAATCTGGGGTCGCAAAAATTGGTAGATCATTTGAAGTTGTCCATAGAACCTTATAAGAAGCCTTACACCATTGGTTAGGTAAGTAAGGGCTCCCAAGTTCGAGTAACAGTAACCTACATAGTTCTTATCTCCATCGGAAAAAATTATAGAGGGGAGGTACTTTGTGATGTTATTAGTCTGAATGTTTTTCATATTTTACTTGGTAGTTTGATAATGATATCACATATTGAGGACGGGATAACATGATGATGTTTACATGGAGCACACATAAAAATATTATGGCTTCTGTTTTGCACTTTGATAAGAATCACGGAGGAAAGAAGTCTAGTTTCTTGGTGATGACAGAGAGTGAAAAGGAGCTTGATGAGATTGTAAAAGAAACAGAATGTTTTTGTCCAGTGGTGATTAAAGGGTTGATGAATGTTTTAAAGGAGGAAATAACGATTTTAAAATAAGTGCTATAGATCCTTGAGAATTTCAAGAAGTTTACTGCAGAGGAATTACCAAATGATTTGCCTCCCATCAACATCAAATTGACCTCATCCAGGGTCTAGCTTATCGAACCTTCCTCACCATCGAATGAGCCCCAAGGAGAATGAGATTTTAAGGGAGCATATTGAAGATTTGTTTAAGAAGGGATTTATTCGTGAGAGCATGATTCCATGTGAAGTACTCGTCCTTTTAGTCCAATTCCCTGTTTGGAAGATATGCTTGACGAATTTGTCAGTTCTAAGTTGTTCTCGAAGATAGATTTGCATAGTGGCTATCATCATATCAGAATCAAACCTAGATATGAATAGAAAACATATTTCAAGAGAAAAGATGGATTGTATGAGTGGTTGCTGATGCCCTTTGGTTTGTCAAACGCCTCTAGCACCTTCATGCGGTTGATGAATCGGGTTTTGCGTCCATTTACTAATTCTTTTGTAGTGGTTTATTTTAATGATATTATGATTTACGGTAAGACCAAGACATAACATTTGCAACATGTGAGGCAAGTGTTGCAAGTTTTATAGAAGAACCAGTTGTACATTAATCTAGAAAAAATGCACATTCAGCACCAACAAGTTATTTTTACTAGGCTTTGTTGTTGGTGAAGAAGAAATTCAGGTTGATAAAGATAAGGTGAGTGTTATAAGGGAGTGGCATGCACCTAAATTCGTGACCGAGGTTCGTAGCTTTCATGGTCTGGCCACCTTCTATAGGCGTTTTATCAAAGATTTCAATAATATCACTGACCTACTACTGAAAGTTTGAAGAAAAGGGAAGTTCAATTGAGGGTTTGAGCAAGAGCATAGTTTTACACTGATTAAGAAGAAGTTATGTAGTGCACCGGTATTAGCACTTCCCTATTTTGACAAGGTGTTCGAAGTTGAATGTGATGCTAGTGGAATGGGAATATGAGCTGTGTATCTCAGGAGAAAAACCATGTAGCCTTTTTCAGCGAAAAATTAAGCGATGCCAACCAAAAATGGAGTACTTATGATCAAGAATTATATGTAGTCTTTATAGCTCTAGGCTTGTGGGAACATTATTTGATTCAGAAGGTGTTCATTCTATCTATTGACCATCAAGCTTTGAACTTTCTTCATAGCCAGAAGGTGATAAACAAGATGCGTTCTCGGTGGGTAAGTTTTCTGCAGAAATTTCCTTTTATTATTCAGTATAAGTCGAGGGCTCTTAACAAGGTAGCAGATTCATTGAGTAAGAGGGCTTCCTTGCTAATTACATTAGCACGGTAGAAAGTAGGTTTTGAGTGCCTGAAAGAGTTTTACGAAAGTGATGTTGAGTTCAAGGAGTTATTGGGCAAGTGTAGTGGAAAACATCCTTGTGCATACTTTCATATTCGAGATTGCTATTTTTTTAAAGGGGGTCAACTATGCATTCCTTGCTCCTCTTTAAGAGGGAATCTAATTAGATACATGCATGGTGTTAGTCTTAGCGGCCATCTAGATTAAAATCCCACTAGGGACTCTTTTAAGCCCATTAGGGTCTCTTTTAAGCCCATTAGGGTTTTTTTTTCTTCTGTATTTAAAGACCTTTAACATGGCCATAACGATTATCTTTTCATTATAATAAAATTCATAGTTTTCTTTTCTCTTTATGGTGGATTCCAAAGCTTATATGACAAGTTTTCTGCTTGCAACAATGTTTTTTTATTCTATGTTTAGCGCTTGATATTTCCTAGTGCTTTCGACTGTGTTATAATGTCTACCAATTCTAAGAAGAGAATTGAATCATTTACTCTAAAAAAAATATTATTGATTTTTTGAGTTTGTTACAAAGAGATTAGGAATCATATAGATATTATCCTACCTATAGTCATAACTAACTCTAAGCTAGTTATGCTAAGGTGGTAAAGGAAGTTAGAGGGAGCTTCAATAGGAATCTCCTAGCATATACTAAGGCATAACAAACTCAGTTAGTTATGTAGAGGTGATAATGGAAGCCTCTAATTGTACATTTCTCAAGCCCCATTAAGATTAAAGCTGGTCTTTTGTAAAAATTAATGGGATCACAAGGGCTTGACAAATTTGTCATCAAGAAGAGACTTAGTCAGAATGTCTGCTTTTCTTTAAAAAAAAATTATTTCAGGTATGTGAACAATATGAAGATCTTTAGTCCCATTAAAAATAGATAAATTTCCATGTGCTTAGTCCTAACACGAAGGACAGGGCTATGAGCCATACCAATGTACTCTCATTGTCAAAAGTAACGATTGGAAATATAGAAGGAACCTTATGTTTTTGGAGGGGTGTCTAGAGCCACATAATCTCATATTAGTGAGAGAAAGACTTTTGTACTCTTCCTCTACACTATACATGGATATCGTAGTTTATTTCCTTAACCACAAAGATTAAGTTGGGAAACCAGAAGTGGGTCATTTGTCATCAGGGTCAGCTTCCCAATCTACATTAGATAAACTATGCATAGAGAATGCTTTCTTAGGGCCAACTGCATGAAGTTGGAGGCTAAGATGAAGAATGTCCTACAAGTGTATGAAAATATTTTTTTATTGCTTACCATTTGGAATCCAGAGGGTTGGCCATAAACTGGAACACTTTATTGATAGAGAAGCTAAACTTTGGTCTAGTGATTATGGATATTGAGAAGCCTTAACTATTGACTTAAATAATGTAGGATTGTCAAAAGAATATGAGCCAAGTTTGGAGAGATTGAATGTGTCACTCATATGAATGGAAACATGATTAAAATCTTGCATACGAGTTTTATTCGTAAGGTCACAAATGTATTTAGTTCGAGTCAATAGTATGGTGTATAAATGTTGCAATTATAACAACAATAATTGCCTTATCTCACTTGGTAGGGTCAGTTACATGGATCAACTTTCTCCATAATGTTCTAAGCACCATACTTCTATCCAGATCATTAAATCTTGAGATATTTCTTAATAAATCCTCTTATAGTATTTTTGGGTCTTCCTCTTTCTCGAGCTGTTTGCCTTCTCTCCATACAGTCTACTCTCCTTATAACAGAATCTACATGTCTTCTCTCCAACTGTTCAAACCACCTAAGTCTATTTTTCAACATCACCTCTACTCTATGAAAATACATTAATGAGGCGTTAAATCAAATTTGTGAGATTTGTAGTGCATGAATAAGGAATCACAATCACAACAAAAAAACTTGAAGATTTTTTTAATCAAATTGTTGACCTAAAAGTGTGAAATAAGGAATAACATGGTGAAGGGATACAATTGATATCCTATTAGTGAGATACAAAAGTTGTGAGGTAAGCATAATTCTAGTATTTAAGGGAAAAGAAAGCATGACTAAGGAAAGTCAGGACAATGTCCACTATATGTGTAGTTTCTTTCCATTACACCATTTTGGTGATGCGTGTGAAGAAAAATTAGTCTATGAATGATTCCTAGGTCAATGATGAATTTCCTAAAAGGTTTGAATTCACCACCCTAGTCAGTTTGGAGTGATTTTATAGATGTGCCAAATTGTAATTCGACCATGGTTTTATATGTTCGAAGGTAGGAAAGGAATCAAATTTACTTTTTAGAAGATAAATCCAGGTAACCTTGGTGATTGCAACTACAAAGATTATAGAGTAAAGGAAGTTATTAGTGGTATTGACAAAACTAGGGCCATAAAGGCTATTATATATGAGTTTAAGGGGAATGATTTATTCAGTGTGTGAAGACGTTTAGCAGATAGAGGTTGTGTACTTTTCTTATACAACATGAAGAATAAAATAAAGAATCTTTTTTATTGATAGAAACATAAACGTAAACTTTTTGCAGAAAAAGATTAAAAGTGTTTTGATTTGGATGACCTAATCCTAGGTGTCATAGAGAATAAGATCTAAGTGACAACATGTCGGAAATACTAGTATTAGGAGTAAACTAAGAAATAAAAGCATTAGTATGTGGATCTATACTTGGTCATGAGATCTGGAGTTTAATGTTGGAGAACTCATAAAGACCACTAAAGCCTACTGATCATTGTAGGAGAAGAACATTAATGACTTGAAATTTAACAATACATTGATTAGGATAAAACATAGTAATATGAATTATCCATTGCAAACTTTCTAACACAATCCAATTTTTTTGTAACAAAATGGTCATAAAGTAATTCATCTAAAATTAGAGGTAAATGTTGTGTTACAAGAAAGGAGAAATGAGAGGAACCAAATAAAAGATTGGGCAAAACTTGCCCATTGACAATATAGGTATGCGTAAGTCCTTTGAAAGGTAGATGATGGTGAATATTTTTGAAGCTATTGATGGCATGGTACAAGACTATTGAGTTAGGGAACCATCTGGGATTGGGCAGGGAAGGAATGTTAATGAGTATAATATTAGGTGAGGGATAAGATAAGGATAAGAGGGGCATAGATAAACCTAATGATGAGTTTCATATTGTTGTCTAGGTTGTAAATTTGGAAAGCTATAGGAGAAATTATTAGATGCAGTGGAATTAACATAAGGGGATCATTGAGATATGAAATTATGTAGATTAACAAGGATAAATGCTTGAAAGAGTTGGCTGAAATACTGAAGGCACAAGGCAGCTATGTGACCAAACTTGGAGCGCACTTGGCACTACATTCGACTGAACCTTCCATGACCATGACCACGACATCCATATCCACAATAAGACCCACCAAATTTAGGAAAAAAACAACACAAGAGTCATTGGAATCGTGAGACTTAGATGTAGGAGCAATAAATTTGGGACATATGTGCTAGAGGAGTTACCTAGGATATTGGACTAAGTGAGATTAATAGAATTTGTATCAACAATAATGAACTTCTTGAACTTTTCAAGATGTATCTCATGAGCAAGAAGAAAAGATTAAACCTCCTCAAGTTACACATAATCAAACTTACTTTCAATAACATAAATGACATGATTGAAATCATGTGGAAATCCTTGTAGAGTTACATCTATATTCTATGATGAAGGGAGAGGATTAACAATTAATTTAAGGGAATCCATTAGGATTTTGATTCAAAGAAGATTCTGGAAATTCATGAGGATTAGATCTTACGGTTGATGAGTGTGAACGCACCTAACAAGATGAGTCGTGATTGATCAAGACAACATTGATTGAATCTATAACAATAACAACTAATCTTTGCATGATCCATGGATGATTTATAAGATGTCCAAGTCTATCTAATTTGTTTATGGTTGAGAGATACTAAGAAGGAATTTTAAGGAAGAAAAGAATGGCTTACATATTGTGCACATAACCTGGGAGCTAGGGTTCTTAATCTTAAGCTTCTTGATGAACGTGACGAAAACGATGGTTTCAGTTTCTCTAAAATTGAAAACTTGAGCAGACCAAAAAGAAAGATTATGATGGTGCAAGAGTGCTATAAAGGCAACATAAAATTGATACGGTCCCCTTAGACGTTTGATACTATGTTAAATGAGAAACTATTCATGATGACGATGCTGACTAATTAAATGAAAAAGTGTAATAGATGAATCAAGCTTTGCTTGATACTAGTGTACTTCTCATTGCATGAATTAAGCCAGTGACTTCTATATTATACATGAGTTAGGAGTTAGTTATTCAAGTGAAACTAACATAACTAACATTCTAACTACCTTCTATCTTAACTAACTAATCATTCTCTAATAATGATGATCAATAATACATCGAGTTTAGTAAGGCTTAGAGAATACATAAAACTTGATCAAACTTAAAAAATATTTATAATCAAGTTCGATTATAATAGATTAAGCCATTTGAGTGAATAAGTTAAAGTCACTATGTAATGTGAGAGTTAGTGATAGAAACTCGTTGAATTATAAAAAACAAAGTGCCCACTCTATTCCTGCCCATCCCTTTTAATTATACATTAACTTTTTTCTTATCAAACACTCTCAATAAAAAATCATTTTTGATAAAAGAATAATTTGAAAAAAAATTTAAAATCAATTTTGACAAAAAATTCAATTCAAATATAATTTTTCATGCATTTCTTATAATTTATATTGTATATCTAAAAAATATTAAATTGTATATCTAGAAAATAGGTGTAGATTTGTACCCAAAAAAAGAAAGAAAAAGAAAATAGGTGTAGATATTGGGTTGTTTGGTATGGTAAGTTGTTTTGTTTTCCCTTTTTTGAATATTTTTTCTTATCTAAGTTGGACTGTTTTTTGTATTATCCTTTTATAATATTTGTTGTTTAAGAAAAGTAATAAGTATGTTGTCCAGGCCTCCTAGGTTTTTTTTTGTTTTGCATAAACATGTTTTACACCTCCTTGTCCAAAGTATACCTTGATCGATTCCACCACATCAATTAAAACTCAAACAAAAAGAATCTTGTTCATCTAACATCTTTTTTATTTATAACCAAGCTTTTTTTTCTTTCAAATTAGGGTAACCTGTGTTTAGCCATCTTATCCTCAACTTCTTTCACAAGTTTTTTTTTTTTTTTGGATAGCAACCTCCGAAGAAGCATAGGTACTTTTGAATTTGTGAAATATATATGTATCATATTTGTAGTACTTTCTTTTTTTATTATTCTTTTTTAAGTGAGATTTGTAGTTCTTTCATATATTAACATAGTAGATGTATGTATTTTAGTTTCTTTGTTATAGTAACTTACCACGACTTTTTATTTTTTTATAGTGTTGAATTATGAATCGAACAATCTAGCTAACCACCTATACATTTTATAGAAACACTCTTATTTTTTTTATAGATGTATCGATACCTTTATTTTTTTTTTTAAATGTCGTATCTGTTACCTATACCGATACTCCTATGTATCATAGACTGCAACTCAGTAGGGAAATACAAGCTCTATGTAGCTCTTACTCCTCCATGTATAAAACTACTTTGTCCACATTTCAAATGCCAACTACTAAATATTTATATGCAGCCTCTATGTACGTAGCTCTCTAAGCCAATGTTTTAGAATCTTCAATATCTACTACCCTTGAACCTTTCTAAATGTCCATTGCTTTCTAACAAACTCTAAAAAACCTTCTGACTTCCATTCCACCATGATTACAAGATATTTCTCTTATAGTTGAAATTGTAGTACTAAGGATAAAAAGCTAAGAAAATTTTCTCTTCAAGTTAAGGGACAAAAATCATCTCCCATAAGTATTGATTATATAATGATATGAAGTGCCAAAAGGAGTTAGTTAACTGGTTTAATGCTCTATATCACATGTGACTATTCATGTTCAATATCAAGTTGAACTACTGAAATTCATATCTAGCTAGCTCAATAATACATATACATGTATATCTATACCCCTAATCTTAACTAGATAAGATTAGGGTAATATGACCAATAACAAGACAGATAAAGATCATAGATCATAGCAAGTTTCTGTTTGTGCATATTTAATTTGTAGATTTTGTACCTTTCATATTAGGGACAATGCATGCGTGGATAAAAAAACATATATTAAACTTTTACTACTTCATAATAATACTAACATCTGCTTTGAAAATTTCAAAAGAAAGGGTATGCACCTGCGTTCTGGTGATAGTGTTCAGTGCACAAAACAGATTCCCAAACTATACTTCAATACCTTAACCTATATATAGGTATATTAATATTCATCGTACAATATAAGATTTTGTGCCACTTTAAACTACCTACATATAATATAGTCCTAACATTATTCTCATTTTTGAAGTTTTAATGGTAATTATAGACTATAGTTAAGGTGTAGATCAAGATAAAAACCTAATAATGCAGCAGATAATTATTTTATTTAATTTTCCACTTTATAAATTAAATATATTTTTCTTTTTCTCTCCAGCAAATAAAAAAAGTGGTAATTTCACAGACAACTAAATGGGATTTCAGATCACTAAACAAAAATAAAAAATTAATAAATAATAATTAGAACTAATTGATACCTAGTGCTTGAATAATCATAGAGCCTTCCAGTGCTTGAAAAAACAATCAATCCAACTTCAGCATCACAGAGAATGGACAACTCTTTAGCTTTCTTCAACAATCCATTTCTTCTTTTTGAGAAAGTTACTTGCCTGCTTGTTGAATTATCAATCCTCCTAATCGCAATCTTTCCTCTTCCCATCTCAAAATATGGATTAGGGTTTCTTTCACCTGCTAGATCAGTAGTCAAATACTCTTCTTATTAAGATCCATCACCAAGGGATAGTCAATATTTTTTTACTATATATATTCAATATTTTATTTTTGAAAAATAAACTTAAAAAAGGGAAAAAAATAGTGGAAGATAAAATAGAGAAGAAAAAGTGATGACTTACTTGAAAAGTATAGGAGTGTTGAGTAGTTAGGAGGAGATGAAGAAGGTTGAGAAACCGTTTACAGATGTTGGTATAGATTCGTAGAAAGAGGTACTCGATGCAGTTTTATTCTTTATATGGAAAGACTAAGGAGCTTTGTGACAAAAGTCACTACCATATTTATATAATTTTCATTTTTTTCTATTTACGGGAAACCAATATAGTAAACCGGTCATAGAAAAAGAAAGGTAATAAGTGTATTTAAAAATTGACCAACAATACTTATAGAAATCAAACATAATTAGCGAAAAAAAATTCTCACTCAAGAAAATTTTACAATGTTACATTCACATAGCTGAGTTGAGCCTAATACCGCTAATTAAATTAAATTGTAATCAATTTAAGTAATTTTTATAACAATTTTAGGTTAAATATCGAGTGAAATCATCATGATTCAAATCTGAGTCTAATAGTTGAGTTATAAATTAAAAAATTGGGTAGTTGTGTAAATATTTAATACTTATTATTATCTTGCTTATTAAATTAAAAAACAATTTTTTTATATCATTGTAGTTTGTACACAGCAGATAGGGATGGTGTTAGTATATCTGATGCAAACCTTAAAAAGTGGTTTTCCAAGATCAGTGGTTTTAAGGTTTCCCCTTGTCTAGTTTATCTGAACCAAGTACATAAAGAGAAGCGCGTGCATTATACTCGCTCAATGTGTTGATAAAATGGGCACGTTTCAAATTGGGAGGGAGAGTGGTGACAACGTGACAAGCGTGCGCGTGGAATAGTTTACCCTAGTACAACATCGAAATCCAGGAATCGTGGGGACTCTGAAAGTAGTAAAAAATATGACGAATGGGGAATTGACACGTAGAATTTCTAAAACCAAGGGCGCTAATATTGTCCTGTTTTAAGGTTTGCGTCAAAAACGGTTCTTCTCTCTCTTTCTTTGTTTTTTATACTTTCTCTGTTGGCAATTATGTCCTTTTCAATTTGTGGGAATATAAAAAATATTTTAAAATAAAGGACCATTTATTAATTATAGAGTGCCTTTTATATTTCGTCTGCTTTTCTAAAATGGAAATTAATAATTAATTTGTATTACTAAAATGCATGTTAGTGAGTCTATTTGAAGGTAGGTATTACTTGGTGTAATCTCACTACATTGGTGAGAATGATTGTTGGATTTGATACTTTATATAGTAAAAACTTTCTTATATTTAAAAGAAAGCTTTATGATTGCTGCTAATAGGAGTAACAAGTGATTATTTTTAGGGAATGAACAAACACTTCTTTAAATGAGCTAAAGTGATTAAGTAAAAGTATACTAATTTTGACCACATGGTGTCATACGCCATTGATATATATCACACCTTTTTTCCAGGAAAATATAACTGAAATTTCATAAATATATGATCATGAATTTTGAGAAATATCAGTCATTTTAAATGAGTCATTTGATATAAAAAAAGCTAAGGAAGCATAATCGAAATGTGTGGAAAATCAAAGAAGGTTTTTAAAGAAGAATAATCAATGGGACAATGTAGAAACGAGGCAACAATGAAGTACGGTTGATAGGAGTGTTAAATTGTAATTTGATTGTGTCGAAACAGTGTGTGTCGAAGGGAGATTGTCTAGTCGAAGAGTTTGTGGATCGAAACAAACTACACACGGATTTGATTTGTTTTAGATTTAGATAGATTTGATTTAGATCTAAAATAGATAGATTTGATTTAGTACCAAAATATATTTTTTGGGCTTTTATAGTTTTGGCTTTGACTTAGGAGCAAGCTAACCTAAATCTATAAATAGAGGGAGTAACCCCTATTTTTGTAATCAAGTCAATCAAGTCAATTCATTGTAATCACATAATTTGTAATTTTAAGTGATTAATAAAAGTTTTTCACAGTTTGTGGACAGAGAGAAACTCTGCAGAAAATAATTGTCTTCTTTCTTTTCTTTTCTCATAATTCATTGTCATTGTTCATCAAGATTGGTAGAAATTCATCATAGATATTTGGTGGATTTTCAACATCTGGTATCAGAGCTCGGTTAATCGATTCAAGGAAAGTATCGATCAAGAACGATTGAGGAAGAAGAAGAATTCACGATGGCGAGTTATGGGAATGCAAATTATCCAGCAACCTTACCAATTCTGAAAGTAGACAACTATGAGAATTGGTGCAAACAGATAAAAGTTTTATTCAGGTGTCAAAGTCTTTGGATCTTGTAAAGGATGAATTAGAAGCGCTTGGAGAAAATGCTTCAGAAGAAGAAAAGAAGAAACACACATAACCTGAGAAGCTGAGTTATAAAGCACTCTTTATAATTCATCAATGTCTGAGTCTAGAAAATTTTGAAAAAGTGAGTAATTCAGAATCTGCAAAAGAAGCTTAGGAGGTTCTTGAGAAGTCTTTTGGTGGTGCAGAAAAGGTGAAAGAAGTGAGATTACAAACTTACAAGAGAACGTATGAATTGCTTCAGATGGAAGATAGTGAGAGAATGTCTGATTTCTTCAATAGGGTTACAAAACTAGTGAATCAAATCAAGGTATGTGGAGAAACATTAACAACAAGAGCTGTTGTTTCGAAGATCTTGAGATCTTTTGCTCCTAAGTTCGACCACGTGGTGGTGGATATAGAAGAGGGGAAAGACTTGTCGAAATTGACAAAGGAAGAGCTTTAAGGGACGCTTGAATCTCAGGAACAAAGAATGACTGAAATAATTGCAGACAAGTCAAAGAGTGATGTGGCTTTGCATGCACATTCAATAAAAGAAACCAAAGGCAAAGGAAAGTGGTTTGGAAGAGGTAGAGGCGGCTATAGCAAATCGACTGGTAGAGGAAACCAAAATGAAGGAAACATGTTGAATCAGAGAAGACCATACCAAGGCAACCAAAGAGGTGGTGTTGCAAATAGAGGAAGAGGTGGTGGTCGAAAACATGACAAGAGTCACATTCAATGTTACAATTGTCAGAAGTATGGTCACTATTCGAGTGATTGTCCAAAAAAGTGAAAGAATCAAGAAAGTGATGCAAAGTTTGCAAAACATGAAGAAGAAGAGATGATGTTGATGGTCACAACAAGAGATGAAGATAGATTCAAGGACCAATGGTACTTGGATTCAGGATGCTCATCACATATGTCTAGAAGGAAAGACTAGTTTGTCAACATAAAGCCCTCAATGAAAAATATGGTAAAATTCCCAAATAACAATACCCTAGTAGCTGAAGGTATTGGTGATGTTATGATTATGATGAAAGATGGCAAGAGGTCAGTAATTTCCAATGTGTTGCACATACCAGGAATGAAGAGCCATTTGCTTAGTATAGGGAAGTTGGTTGAAAATAATTATAATGTGTCGATCGAAGATAAGATGATGAGATTCGTCAACACAAATAGAAGATTAATCTTGAAGGCTCCTATGTATCAGAATACAACCTTCAAGATCGAACTAAATGTGATGGAGCACAAGTGCCTTTCGACTACAACTAGCAGAGATGAATGGATATGGCATTATCGACTAGGCCATTTCAACTTCAGAGACATCATAGATTTGAAGAGAAAAAATATGGTTTCAGGATTGCTAGAAATCGACATTCAAAACGAGGTATGTGAGGAATGTGTGCAGGCGAAGCAGCACAAGAACAACTTCAGCAAGGAAGTAGGAAGCAAGTCGAAGGTTATTCTTGAAGTCATATACTCTGATATATATGGACCAATCCAGGTGGATTCGATGGGAGGTAGCAAACACTTTGTTACATTCATAAATGATTTCAGCCGAAAGTTGTGGACTTACCTGATCAAGAAGAAAAGTGAAATGATCGAGGTATTTTCCAAGTTTAAGTCTATGGTCGAAAGACAAAGTGGCAAAAAACTCAAAGTTTTGAGAACTGATGGTGGTGGAGAGTATTGTGTCGAAGGACTTCGATAGGTTATGTGAAAAGGAAGGGATTGTGCATGAGGTGGTACCACCCTATACTCCACAACATAATGGAACTGCAGAAAGGAAGAATCGAATCATCATGAATATGGTGAGAAGTATGTTGAAAGGCAAGAATTTACCTAAAGAGTTTTGGGATAAAGGTGTGTCGACTACAACATACATTTTAAAAAGATGTCCTACGAAGAAGCTAGAAGGAATTATTCCAGAAGAATGTTGGTCTGGTGTGAAGCCTAGCTTGAGTCATCTGAAGGTATTTGGATCTATTTCATATAGACATGTGCCAGATCAGTTGAGAAGAAAACTTGATGACAAGTCGAGTCAAATGATTCTAGTTGGATATCATTCGACAGGAGGTTACAAGTTGTTCGACCCAGTGAACAAGCAGATTGTGATCATCAGGGACATGATCATACATGAGCTTAAAGAATGGGATTGGACTGAAAATATCAACAAATATTCAATGGTAATCCTACTTGGAGAACCAGAAACTCGATTCGAAAGAGAAATTCGACAAAAGAAACCAACGGTTATATATCAAACAAGTACAAGCAGACCTCAAAGAACAAGACACATGCCTGCAAGATTACAAGATTGTGTGATTACATCAGATGATGTGATAAATAATGATGGTGAGTTGGTACATTATACTTTCTATGTAGATGTCGAACCTGTCAATTTAGTTGAAGCATTGAAGGATTCGAAGTGGGTGAAAGCAATGAACGAAGAAGTGAAGTATATCAAAGACAACAACACTTGGTCACTTGTCGAATTGCCTCAAGGCGAGAAGGCAATTGATGTCAAGTGGGTATACAAAGTGAAGATGAATCCTAAAGGGGAAGTAACTCGACACAAAGCAAGGCTTGTGACAAAAGGA